TGTGTGTGTGAGTGCGTGTGTGTGTGAGAGAGTGTGAGTGTGTGCGTGAGTGTGTATGGTGTGTGTGTGTGTGTGTGCGTGAGAGAGTGTGAGTGTGTGCGTGAGTGTGTATGGTGTGTGTGTGTGTATGGTGTGTGTGTGTGTGTGAGTGCGTGTGTGTGTGAGAGAGTGTGAGTGTGTGCGTGAGTGTGTATGGTGTGTGTGGTTTATTCACCCAGCATGGCTGTGCTGATGTCCACACCAACCCAATAGTGACCAGCTTCAGATAAATAATCTCCACTGAGTCCAGAGCCACAGCTGACGGATTCAAGCAGATGAACACAGCATTACGAGCCTGACAGTGTAACACACATTCATACAGAGAAGCACCGTCAGAACCAGCGCAGCGCTCACCCCACATCCAGCAGGTAACAGGGCTGATCCTCGGGGAGACTGAGCAGCTCCACGGCTCGCTCTGACATCTGCGTCTGGATCTCTATCATCCGAGAGCTGCGGAGCACAGACATCACAGATGCATACTGCTGAATTCTGCTTGCTTAAACTCTTCATGTGCATGCATTTATGTCTTACATTACAGTGGAATAATAACCGTTTCGTAGCATTCATTGTTTAAAATAGACACATATAACGTAAAATGATGCATGTGCAATCTTGGCAGTACAGGCAAAAAGTACTGGACCAGACGTACTGTCAATGTTCTTACTTTTGGGAGTATTTTTTGGCCTCTTGTTCATTGTAGAACTGTAAATATAAAACCAACAAGCATTTACACATATGATAGACAACAGCACATACAGTATATGGCCAAATGTACGAGGAGATTGTGATTGGTTGGAATTAAGCTATTGGGTCATTCCTTGTCAACTCAACCAGAGGAACCCCGCTAAAAAAAAATGTGATTGATACTTTTTTATGGTGAGAGAAATGCATAAATGATGAAGACAGACCATTTTAAATTCCATTAAATTCACTATTTTGTAGGGTCTTCACCTGGCATTTGGAGCCACTTTAGAAAGATGGCACCAACATTATTATTATTTTTTTTACATGCGATTAGTAAAAACACATTTAAGAATCTTTGTACTTCAATGGTGACAGTTCAAAAATGGGAAAAGGTTGTTTGTTTGTTTTTAACACCACAATTTGCATGTCTGCAACTCAAGAAGTATTAAAGATATCTTGATATATTTTTTAGATTCTGTTCTATTAACATTTCTTTCTTTTTTTTGGTATTTTCAATTTTAGGCCTTATATGATTCATTTCCAGAGATATGGGGATCTATATGGCTCTGTACGTAAATGGTTAGATATTACCCATCTAACAAGAACAACATATAATGTTGAAACAAAACATGCATCTATCAAAACAAAAACAACTGCATAGAACACACCTGACTCTCAGTGCCATAAACACACTGGAAGGGTCAAGCTGAGGCACATTAGCTTGCTCTCAATAGTCTATAGATTATATGAATCAGCTTCAGGGATTTCTGTCATTTTCCCTCTTCTGTAATCTAGCTCCAGATCTCAGGTGCAAACTGATTCCTAGGGAAGCATACAGCCATGGAATTTAATATTTTGGCCTTCAACACCATTTGATTTGTCACCGAATGAACCTATTAATGTGCTATTCTGTGAACTCTGATCAGACAACACAGCAGTTCATTCACAGACACGCAGGCTCCTTCTAGTGGGGTTTTAGATCAAGACTCGTAGTATTAAGCATTTGCAGTAAAGCTTTAATGGCTCTGTGAAGCAACAAGTAACGTTACCCTAAATATTTTCCAGTCATCGATGTGTGAGAAAGACATAGCTGAACGCGTTCACTCACCACCTCCGGAGGGGCCATATGCTCGGGTCTGCGACAGCTCGAAGACATGATGATATTCACCGAAAATGAACCTGCGACCGGTTTCTGCAGATCACAACACCGCGGGGGAAACACGTGGAGGACAGCACGTGGCCCGCGCTGATGACGTCACCCACAGGCGACGCTCAAATCTCACGATGTTTTGTCTCACTCCAGAGATCTATGTACTTAGATACCCTTTTAAATGTATTCATTTGAAGGATTGGTATTCGATATACGAACGGAGATTTTATGCATCGGTGAATGAATACAAATAATTATGTATTAATCACAAACGACTGTGATTTGTCCATTCTGAAAAGCGCTGAGAAAAGTAACAGGTGGACACGCCCATACTAGCATTTTGATGCTGGAAGACCACCATCCATCATAAAAAGTGCTCCACACGGCTCCTGGAGGTTAATAAAGACCTCCTGAATTGAATCGATGCGTTTGTGCAAGAAATATATCCATATTTAAGACTTTATGAACTGTATGTCATCCACTGGACGCCACTCTCTTGCGAACATGCGTATGAGTTAGTGGAAGCTAGAGATTACGGTTTATAAAGTTATAAATATGGATATTTTTCTTACACAAACACACTTCAGGAGGCCTTTATTAGCCGTGTGGAGCACTTTTATGATGGATGGATGTGCTTTTTTGGGCTTCAAAATCTGGACACCCATTCACTGCCAATATAAAGCTCGAAAGAGCCATATTTTTTAATATAACTCCGATTGTATTCGTCTGAAAGAAGAAAGTCAAACACACCTAGGATGGCTCGAGGGTAAGTAAATCATGGGCTAATTTTCATTTTTGGGTGAACTACCCCTTTAAGATGCTTTGCTTTACACACTCACTATATGAACCAGTCTGTGTGACTGCATTTACGATGAACACCTTTCTTTGTGGTTCTTCGTTCACTTTATTCACAGAAATATAAAGTTTCATGTGAAGGTCATCACTTGATACAAAATCTCAGAATGTTCAAAACTCATTCCACTATTAGCATAAAGGATTCATATAAAAATAAAACTCAGTAGTAGACAAATAATGACTAATTAAACGCTAAGGGAAAGATTTATGGAAACTACAACTGGAGCTGCAATACATCAGATGATGAAGATGATTGGCACACGTCTGTCATGGCGCATGAGACATCGAGCACAAAGTACTTTCTCCCCAAATATGTGATTCCAGAACTCATAAATGCAAAGAATGATCAAATCGGCAGGAAAAAGTGCACTGAGGACTTCTGATGAATGAGTGTGTTTATTCCTTTGAAAACAAACCTTAATGTTACGCTATAGAGTGGCATCTCTGCACAGAAAGTGGCGTCTATAAAGAGATTCTTTACTGGGTTTGCTGTGAGGAACTTGACAGACCTACACAAAGCTCAGAGCTGAAGCTGAAGTTGTGCAGGTCAGTCAAGTTCTTCACACCAAACTCAGTAAATCACATCTGGACTCATCAGCCTGAAGGGTCCTTCTGTGTGCCAGCTGACAGAAATGACTAACAAACCCGTGAGTTAGAAAGAGGGCGTCCATCAGGGTGGTCCATCAAACTATGGCTAAAAAAAATCTACCTCGAGAACAAGTCCACAAAACTAGATTTATCCAATCTGAATAAAACATATTCAAACTCTCAAGCAGATCGAGGTGTATTTAGAGGTCACTCAAGGATCCACGATGTTCACATTATTATCATGTGTGGCTCAGAAAGTATCATGACTGTAAACTTAAGCTACAGACACATTTACTGCTGTTTGGTGAATTTTCGCAGGTGAAATCCAGGGAATCTATGAAATTGTGAATTTACCGTGAGGGAAAAAATTTCCCAACACAGATTTTTAGCATGGGTTCAAGATAGGAACACGGATTCACTGCGTTAACCATCAGAAAGCTGATTGGTTTGAAAGTGATTCCGGTGTGAGCTTTGCTTCATGCATCTCTACACTATTGACAGTGGCACTTTTTTGCCTAAATCTCGCCAATGCGCCCCTTTAAATGGTGGTTAAAAACATGTGAGTAAAACCCCATCAGCCAACTTCAGCTTCAGCTCTGAGCTTTGTGTACGTCTGTCAAACCCAGTAAAGCTTGCCAAAGTTATCAACGCTTGGTCAAGTCGTTGCTGACTCAGAAACGCATTCAGCAAAAACATTGGTATATTAACATTATATCAGTTAATGAAAATATGGTATTTAACTGTAAATTTAAGTTAAAACCGTAAAACCTAAAACGTTGCTACCGTATTTTTTACGGATTTTTTTTTTTACAGTGTTCTCTTGACAGTATAACAAATTGCGTTTTTTTTCTTCTTCTTAAAAATTATACAAAAATTCTATATTTTTTCTCCAACTTTTGATGCTTGAGTGACCCCTAGATACAGTATTCACCAAAAAACTAAATTGTTTAAATAAACTTTGTCGAGGAAAAGTACTATAAAACTTCATGTGCACCCTAGTAAACCCTTTTGGCATGTAAAAATGAAATAGCATCTGTTTCATAGGAACAGTGGTGTTTGAAAATACTGCTGAGTTAAACCAATGGTCATTTATATATAAATAGTGTGCTACTGCATAGAGGTCGACCGATAGATCGTTTTTAGAGAATTTAACCTGTACACATTGTGTGTGTGTGTGTGTGTGTTTAACTGTTGGTAGTATGCAGATAAACAAAGCCAGATTATAAACATTCATCCATTTTTTAAACCATGGGGAATTTAAAACATTTACAGAAAAAAAGCCAAGATATGCATACAATAAATGTTATCATTACATTAAAAAAAAAAAAAAAAAAAGATATGTTGCTGGACTTATTTAAAGCGCTCGGTTTGGTTTGCAACCGTTTCATGTTATTTGCAGGTTGGTAAAGTGTTGCTTTGTGATTCGGCTTGGATGTTTCTCAGTACATCATTTAATAATTACAAAACATTTTCATGATCAAGTCACTGTTACAGTGTAAAAAAAAAAAAATCCACATATTTCAACTTAAAAACTTAAGTTCAGTTGCTGCCTTGCATTTTTAAGTATAATCAGCTTGGTTGTACAAGTCATTTAAACTTAAATCACATTAAACCAACTTCAAAAAAAAAAAAGAAAGTTTAAATTGCTCAACTAATTTTGATGAGTTAAAGTAATGTAAAAACATAAATTGCCATGACTTACTGATCATACCATTTTTTACAGAGTAATTAATTATTAGTAATAAAGATCAGCACGATTTCACTCTGAGTGGAAGCTTTGCATTCAATGCTGATTTTAAAAGCCAGTTAATTAGGTCTGTTTTCCCACTTTATTATCCCACAGTTAACATATGGATAAAATCCACTATTAAATCGGTCGACCTCTACTGCTGCATTGATAGGTTTTGTCCGTTTAGCCAAATTTTTCCAAAGCATCCACGTAGCATATGCTTGAATCTGAAGCTTGACTTATATCTCACAATATGAGGTGTGGGAGACACTGAACTGTTGGGACACAACTAGTTCACATTTAACAACAGATGATCCAGTTAAAGGTAAAGTACACTCATAACAGTTAAAAATCAAGACTGTTCTTCAAGCATGAAGATGGTGTTCAACCACATCAGTCAAAAACCCTTGACAGCACACAAACCAAACACATGAGAAACAAAAGCTCGTCTTTTAAGGGTTACACAATTCATGAGAGTAATGACTAATGGGAAAGTGCTGTACATGTACTCAAACAGACACGTTATGCTGCTCAGTCACGGTTTATAACTGTGCAAATATTGTGAAGGTCTGTGCATTGTATTCATGTGCTTCAGATACGACAGAAGAAAGTCACAGACAGCGGGAATCAAGTCAGCAGCTTCACACACAACAGAAATCAATTAAACAAGACGACAGATGTGACATCAGGGCTGAACAGGAAACAGCCAGTCAGATGGTTTGACATCACTTCCTGTGGAGATGCGAGAGAATCTCCTGAAATCTGATCATCTGCCTTGAGAGTGAAGCAGTCATAAGAAGTCTTATTTAGCAAACACATTAAAATGTAATTGTTCAAATCAAGTTCACACTAGTTTTAAGGGTTTACAGTGATTCTGATGTGTTTGTAAAAAAATAAAAAATAAAAATTCTGTCATTTACTCATCCTCAAGTTTTTCCAAACCTGTAAGACTTTCTTTCTTCTGTTAAACACAAAAGAAGATGTTTTGGAGAATGTTGGTAACCAATCAGTTGCTGGCACCCATTGTGCCATAGAAAAAATAATGGGAAAAATACTATGGAAGTCCATGGCTGTTCGGTTACCAACATTCTTCAAAACATCTTCTTTTGTGTTTAACAGAAGAAAGAAACTCACACAGGTTTGGAACAACTTGAGGATGAGTAAATGGCAGAATTTTCATTTTTGGGTGAACCGTCCCTTTAAATAAGACACACACTCACACTCACACACACACACACACACACACCCACACACACACCACACACACTCACACACACACACACACACACACACACACACTCGCTCACTCACTCAGATGAAGATCAGATGATGTTTAGAAGCCCTTTGTGCAGGAAAACATCACACATAAGTACAGTGATGTCCAAGTCATCACCGCCCATTAAAAGGTTTGTCTTCTTTTACAATTATTGGAAAATTACCGATGAAAAATATCACATGTATAAATCAACAGAAACGGTACATCCCAAACTCGATCAATGTCCTAAATGACTAATATTACAGTAATGCGTGGCCAAACAGGTGTACATAATTATAATATGATTAGCACAAAGTAAAATTTGTTTAACAGACACATAAGATCGCTGCTGATCTGCCACACGCCTCAGGAATACAGATGACAGACGGCTGATGAACACATCTCAAACTAATCAACTCTATTGTCCAAAACATCATCATCAAACCCCAGACGATCCACTCGGATCTCACCGAATCCAGGACGAGGGCTGAAAGATGTAACTGTGACTGTGGTCCGAGAGAATGAGTCCTCTTCTCTTACAGAATGCAGATGCATGGATCCTGATGATGATGAACCAGATGCCACAGTTCGTGAAAACTAAAAACATCCTGCTCAACTGTACGATGTGGAGGCGTTTACTGTCACTGAATGAAGAGCCAGAGGAGAACATGAACATCTGTCAGCATGTGCAAACCAACTAAAACACTCCAAGAAATGCACAATGACCGACTCAACATGAAAACAGAGTTTAATGGAGTGACTGGTCAAAGATGGCAGCTCTCAGGTGATCATTTACTTCATTTTTCATGATGTTTTGTTGACGATTGCAAAATGATTTTCATTGTGTGTTGGTAGATAAAGGACTAAATTATACACTACTGGTAAAAAGTTTGGAATAATTAATATTGTTTATGTGTTCTGAAAGATGTCTCACCAATGCTGCATTTATCTGATCAAAAAATACAGTAAAAATGTGAAAAATTATTACAATTTAAAATATGTTTTCTATGTGAATATCTGTTAAACTGTAATTTATTTCTGTGATCAAAGCTGTATTTTCAGCATCATTACTCCAGTCTTCAGTGTCACATGATCTTCAGAAATCATTGTAATATGCTGATTTGCTGCTCAAGAAACATTATTATTATCAATGTTGAACACAGTTTTTGCAGCTTAATATACAACTGTGATATACTATCATTCAAAAGATTGGGGTAATCTTTTAAAAAAAAAAAGAAAATGAATTAATACTTGTGTTCATTAAGGATGCATTAAATTGATCAAAAGTGCCAGTAAAGACATTTATAATGTCACAAAAGATTTCTATTTCAAATAAACGCTGTTCTTTTGAGCTTTTCTATTCATCTGTGAATCCTGAAAAATACAATGCATCACAGTTTCCACAAAAATATTGTGCAGCACAACTGTTTTCAACATTGATAATAATCAGAAATGTTTCTTGAGCAGCAAATCAGCATATTAGAATGATTTCTGAAGATCATGTGACACTGAAGACTGGAGTAATGATGCTGAAAATACAGCTGCGCATCACAGAAATAAATTACATTTTAACAGAGATTCACATAGAAAGCAGCTGTTTGAAATGATAATATTTCAAAATTTTACTGTATTTTTGATCAAATAAATGCAGCCCTGGTGAGCAGAAGAGAACATTTATGAGTACTAAAGATGGGTAAATCACACGCATCAAATCAGAAACAACACAAAGGGCGAAACATTCTGACATCAGCTTGTGGTAATCACTGAGCGAGCTCTGCAGCTAGTTTAAGGGTTTGACGAAGCAGTTAAAAACACTTGACCGTCATGAAGCCGAGCAGAACAGCAGCACGTGTTTCACTGGAGTTCAGCATCAGGACATCAGTAGAAGGAGTACTGGTTCTCCACGGCTCGAGTCCGCCGCGTGCCGTCACTGTCGTGGTAGTCGTCGGCTCCGGCTCCGGCTCCGGCCCCGGGCTCCAGCAGTCTCTCTGCGCTGCTGCTGCGGCTGTGGAGGCCCATCAGTGCTCCTGCGGCCGGCTGAGCCATCGGAGACGAGGACGAGCTGGACGACAGCACCGCGTCTGACAGCTGATGGGTCAACTGGGTCGGTTCGGCCCAACAGACGGCGGCGTCCCGCGGGGCAGCTGGGATATGAGGAGCCGCCACATCTGTGCAGACACACCCAGACCACAAGTCAAATCATACTGCAAAAAGAGCCAAAGTCAGCTGGAGAAACTCACACACGGCCTGCAGGAAAGCATGTTACTGGTGCACTTCAAAACAGGCGACAGAATGAAGAATTTGGTCGAAAAATTGAAAAAATTTTCAAGCGCCTGTGATATTCTGGTCTCTAGAAATGGCTCGGTTCCTTCTATTTGTGCTCATAAGGTGATTTTCATCTATGACTGCAATTATGGTTATACGTATAGTGTAAAGAACACAGAAATGAAGTTTCCTCAAAACATCAAGCTTTAATCATACTGTCTGTCGCTCTTTAGGGAAATTAATATTCCCAGACTACTACAATGACACTTCTAACGGGGTTTCTGCAGGTTTTATGGAGGTAAAATTACGATTTTAAAAACCTTTTTAAGGCCAGGTAAAGGAACTTTAGGGAATACATTGAATGGAACACGATACGTGAATATGGTCTCTAAATGTAAATGTCTTAACAAAACTTCAAAAGTTTGAAATACAATTTCCAGCAAACAATTCCTCCATTACTTTTTAATTCATTTTACAAAAAAAAGAAAAAAAAAGCTTATGGCTTGAATAGCTCTGATGCAAACCACTAGAATAAGGAAGTAACTTTTACTGTACCATCTGATCTCACTGCAAAAAAGTGATGCACTTCCTCAATATTTCTTGTTTTCCAGTGCAAGGTTCTTAAATCAAGATGCATTTACTTGAGAAGCAAAATTACTTAAAATTAGAGGTCTTGTTTTCTGGGAAAACGGACAAAATGAAGAGTTTCTGATTAAAACAAGAGCAACTCTGACACTGGGCTCAGAAAAATCAACTGAATTCAAATGGAAAATGTTTAATTCCCCTCTGACAGACGCTCGTTCTTCTTTAAGCATAAACTCACTTCATTTTGTTCAGTTTCTCAGAAAACATGACTTCACATGCATCTCAAGTAAAAGTATCTTTATTTAAGGATGTTTAGATATGTGTACTGGGAAACAAGACAAAAACACTGAGGAAGAGATTTGCGCAACATTTAATGCCATGACTGCATGGATTTAAGACTTTCTGCTGCTATTTAAAACCTTTTTAGGCCTTAATTTGTGGAAGGGTGAATTACGGCTTTTTAAGATCTTTTTGAGACCCGCACAAATCCTGTTCTAACTTTGAGCTTTGATTCAGACGCTTAATGCCAAGTAAACTAGATATATGAGAGCTGTTTACTCCACTTCTCTCTTAGAGACGACTTCAGATTTAAATGCATCTAACTATAAAAATCAAACGGTGTTTGGTCACTTTATTTTTCGGTGGCAGCTCTTTGAACAGTATATGCAGTAATGTGGACCAGACTTCATGCTGATACTATAACAATGTCACTTTGTAACACTCATGGTCAGCCTGAACAACAGTCCCTGCTGCAGCAGAACAGTGACTGATAATCAGATAATCAGACAATAATCTACTCTCACAGTTAGTTTGGCTGTGTGTGTGTGCTGTGTGTGTGTGCTGTGTGTGTGTGGCTGTGTACCTGAGGGCGAGCGCTGGACTTGTACGTATGAGCGTAGCGTGATGTCGGTGGAGCCGCCGGACTCCAGAGGGATGGGATGAGCGTGAAAGTGCTGTAACATATCAGCGACCGTCTGGAACCACAGGTGATGAACGTGACACTGACCGCTGTCATTCACAGACAACCGCAGGTGCTGCCAAACACACAACACGTCACACAACACATTCATTATTCAGGTGTTCAATTGAGTTGTTTGCCATTTGGTGATATTATTAGAAATAATAAATATATTTGAACAGATATGTGCTATATATATATTCATATTTATATGGGAACACATGTGCAATATATGTAAACAATTATGCCACTAGAAAAAAAATATTTCCTGACTTAGTATTTTTCTTGTTTTCAGCAAAAACGATCAAATTTAGATTTTTTTTTTCTTCATTTCAAGTCATTTAAGTCGGTCATAGATATTTGTAATCAGAAACAAAACTAGACAAAAATACTAAGTATGAAAATAATTTTCTACAGTGTGAGGAGAAACATATACAGTACATACAAACACACATATAAATACATACACATACTTATATATGTGACCGTCTCGCTCTGGCGGATCACAAACAGACCGTGACTCTGTGCGCCGCCGGCGAGAACGAGCTGGGCCGCCCGCACCCGTGACAGCGTCCCGTGGAACCATGGGTAACCCGCCAAACTGGCATCTCCTTCCGCTTCCCTTGGTGTTTCACCTGGGCTTCCTGAATGACAGGAGTAATGTGAATGCTGTGTGTGTGTGTCTGTGTGTGTGTGAGTGTGTCTGTGTGTGTGTGTCTGTGTGCGTGTGTGTGTGTGTGTCTGTGTGTGAGAGTGTGTGTGTGTGCGCGTCTGTGTGCGTGTGTCTGTGTGCGTGTGTGTCTGTGTGCGTGTGTGTCTGTGTGCGTGCGTGTGTGTGTGTCTGTGTGTCTGTGTGTGTCTGTGTGTGTGTGTGTCTGTCTGTGTCTGTGTGTGTGTGTGTGTGTGTGTGTGTCTGTGTGTGTGTTTCCAATGTCATGCTGCTGGTGCAGGAACCCAATCTGGCCCAACATGTTTTTAGACTGAAAACAAAAAAATCAGCACCCCTAAACATGCTGGTCATAAACTAGGAACTACTAAATGTCAGTAATTCTGGAGATGGGATAATAATGAATAAAAATCATGAATATTATATCTATAAAATATACACATAAAACACTTACCAAAACAACAACAATTCAGTGCATCTAGACTGACACGAAACAAACAAGATCAATCCCATTCTAATCAATAAAACGGCCTGATGTGTTGTGAAATAATGCCTGCTTTAATGTGCTGCAAAGCTACTCCTGCTAATTACAATTTTCATATTTGTCTGAAACAAAATGGTTATATTCACAAATATCATATAAGAAAATGAATAATATTATGAATGCATCTGGATATTAAAATAATTCCGAAACACTAAATAATTTATGAAACCTCCAAGATGTAAAAGGTAACACACAAAAACTACAACTGAAATCATAAATAATAAATTGTGTTACAGCATATAAAAAAACCAGGACAATTTGCCCAGATAAAGTTGTGACAACTTGCCCCGGCCTGACATTTATGAAAAACCCCAATCTACCTTCATCATATAGTGACTCCTCTGTTAATGTACGTTAATGTGTGTTTTATCGTGTTCACACGTTACTCAGCATAACATGATGATACTGTAATTTTAGAACAGAATTTTCAGGAAACGTAAGAAAATCATTAACTGAGGTCTCTCCTATTTGCAATCCAAAACTAAACGCAGCCAGACTGTTATTTTCATGCTGTAATATTTGCATGAGGACATTTTTCCTCTCTAGTTGCCTAATGTGTGTGCTGCTCTCTAACTAGTAGAGTTTCTCGAGTTACTTTTGGTGCAGTAAACAGTGTGAAGTCTTTGCTCTTTTCCTGTCTAACATACATCAAGGGAAGCATTTAAAGAATTTTACGAAAGCGACTCACCGAATCAAATCACTGCTCAGTGAACTCAACAGAATTTAATCTTTCTAAAAATGTATAAGAATCCAATTGAAAAGCATTGAATCAAAGATTGACGCACCCAAATAGAACAGTCATCATCCTGTTCTCAAGCCAGTGAAACCTGATGTACCTGATGGTGTGTTAGTGTTCTGGGCCTCTGGCGACTGCAGGAACCGCTCTAACGGGACATGTGAGGGGTGCTGGGTGACGGGGGGCTCCTGGCAGCGGGCCGCAGTCGCCTGATCAGCAGCAACAGAGCACCCCCGATGTGAACCTGAGCAACACATCCACAACATAAACCCAACTCTTCCTGTAGCTTACGAGAAACACATCATATGCACAAACGGAATTCATCAGAACGCTGCATGCATCCGAGAAGCCTCTATTAATAAATACAGAGCTCTATTACTGATTTAGACTGTGCATGTGCGAGAGACGTGTCTGGATGGCGTACCGTCACACAGCAGCTCACAGCTACAGGACGACACCAGCGAGAAGTCTTTGTGCGGTTGGCTGTGAGCACACGATGCCAGCTCGATGTCATCGCCGCTGTCCCTGAAACACAGAGAACGATGCTTCAGCAACTACACCATGAAAGTGTTTGGTCTTTTAAAACAGTTATCTGATGTCCTGGAATACAGATCGGAGTTTCTGATGGACTTGGTGCTTTGTTACTTATTCAAAGCACTATATATCAGTAAACAAAAGGCTTTTAAACACGTTTAAGCTGATGCTATTATACTGGTTTACAAGAAAACAAAACCATCTCTTCATCAAGCATCAGACTTTCCACCTGCAACATGCAACCATATATTCATTCCTACTTTTTGAGAATCGCTTCCTCTCACTTTGAACGATACCTACCAATATCTTAATCTATTAATTGCCTTAAAATGCTCAGACATTTACAACTGCATTCTATGTGCTAGACAACACTATAAATACATTATAGCTAGATCTAAATCTGGAGAGCACTTGTATCATCATTTTACATCAGTACTATCAGCACTAAAACTCTACAGTAAACCTGATTTCTTACTTGGTATTTTTGTCTTGTTATCATTCTTGAATCAATATCCTAATGATTTTTGGCATAAAAGAGAAATTTATAATTTTGACCCATACAATGTATTGTTGGCTATTGCTACAAATATCCCCCAGCGACTTAACACTGCTTTTGTGCTCCAGGGTCACATATGTGCTAGACAACACTATAAATACATTATAGCTAGATCTAAATCAGGAGAGCACTTGTATCATCATTTTACATCAGTACTATCAGCACTAAAACTCTACAGTAAACCTGATTTCTTGGTATTTTTGTCTTGTTATCATTCTTGAATCAAGATACATTTACTTGAGAAGCAAAATTACTTGAGATATTAATTCTTTTCTAAAAAAAAAAAAAAAAAACTGAAAGTTTGTTAGATTTAGCTTAAAACAAGAAAAAACATCTGTCGACGGGGTAATAAACATAATCTTAATTTAGAGGGAAAACAGGATTACAAAATTACTTGAGATATTAATTCTTTTCTAAAAAAAAAAAAAAAAAACTGAAAGTTTGTTAGATTTTGCTCAAAACAAGAAAAAACATCTGTCGACGGGGTAATAAACAATCTTAATTTAGAGGGAAAACAGGATTCTTTTTCTTGCCCCATTGGCAGATATTTATTCTCATTTTAAGAAAAACTCACTTGATCAGAAAACAAGACCTAACATCTTGTTATTTTGCTTCTCAAGTAAATGTATATTGATTTAAGAATGTTTAGATGTAAGTAATGGAAAACAAGACATGTTTGCACTGTTATAGGCATAATAATAGTATGACTTTCTGTAAAGTTGCTCTGAAACATTGTGAAAATATGTTTGATTTGACAAATATGTTGAGATTGTGTCTTAAACACTAGTTGGACCAACTAGCAGTAAGCTAAGGGATAATTGAATCTGATTCTTATGCAGTTATGAGCAGTGTATAGACACTATATCAGAGATACTCACCCGGGGTCAATGCAGTCCTGGATGTCTGCGACCCACGAGTTCTTCTGCAGAGAGTCGATGGTCTCCAAAATGTATTCAGCAGTGTTTTCTACCTGCGATGGACAACACAACACCACAGCTTGAACTGACAGCACTGATCTAGATCCACTAGGCAACATGCTTGCACTTCTCAAAGACAAGGTACATATGTGAGCGACTAAGAACGAGGGGACTGTACCTTGAGCACGAATGTGTTGTCTTTGTCGGGCATCTCTAGAGGCATGGTGGTCCTCACCTCCACGATAGCAGACAGCGGGATGCTCACTTTGGGTTTAGATGACTACAAACACAAATCAACGCCATTCAAGTATGCACAGTGTACAACATGACATTCAGTGAGAGCCGTGTGGTTCTGCAGGGCTCAACAATAAGGACGGTCATTTGTACTTACCATGCAAACATTTTTCTGTATTCAATCTCAATTAATTGCATATTAATATATTTGGGTCAAAGACGAAAAAGGGTTTAAGCATAAAAAACAATACTGCTTTAAATTGTTGTTGTTGTTCCAAAAAATTTTAAAAAGTTTTCTGTTTCATGTAATTGTATTTTTGTTTTTGTTTTTCCGAGCAAAAAATAAATATCATACATTTCCCCCTGATTTACAGAAGAGACCCACTAAAATGTAATTCAGTGTAACAATCTTGTCAGGCATATTTACAACAAAAATCTATTTATGACATATTAAAATACTAATTGCTTTCACCCCAAATACTAATTAGTTGTTATTTTACATTTTTAAAATGTGCCACTATCCTAGGTTTGGCCCATTTGTCAGTAAGAATTTTTTTACTCATTTAAAACACAATAAAATTGAATATGCTCACTTATTCTTTTATATATTTTAATATGTACACGTCAGAATAAGCATGTTGTTTGAATTTTTACATAAATATTGTGTTGCACTGAATGACAATGTAACATTATTTCAACCAAATTTTAACATTTTATTCTCCAAAAACTTATTTGAAACCTTAAAAGTAGACACTTTACTTACATTTAATGTTCTTTCTATGGACATAAAATTACTTTAGTAAATGTCTTTTGATGCGGACATCTTAACGTCTTTGACCCATTTACATTGTTATAGTTTCACATTGAATCTCTAAATTAATGAAGAAACAACATAAAGATGGTATATTTTAAATATGTGTTTAATGGCCGGTCTCAATTATACCAATACTGCTAATGTCTCTGTTATATGCATTTTTACCTCCGTTTTAGCCATTAATTATAGCCATTCAACATTACAGTATAACTCAAAGACATTATTTTAAACATTTAATAGGCTTTGAAAAATATAACTTTTAATTTAAGTGAACTTAAAACAATCTTCACATTAACTATAAATTGGATATGCATTGAATAAATTGACTAAATTGAATATCTTATAGCTTTTTTCAAGCAACAAAAGTTAATCAGCGAGAAGAACAGTAAGTGATTTCTCATTGATTTCCATCAATAACAGACTGCAGCAGGTTTCACTTTAAAAGCAACGCTGTCTCTTTAAAACCTGACACACATCCGATTTTCTCACAACTCATATAGACTTCTTAACTCATTTAAGACTGCTTACGAGGTCACTTGCCAAAAATGGGCATTTTGACAATTTTGTGTGCTTTTGTTTTGCGAAAGAGAACTCCGTATGCTACTGGCATGCTGTCTGAAGAGGCTTATATTTATATATACATACATATACATATACATATGAAGACTTCAGATGCAAAAACCTCCAAGTCTGTCTGAGATTCTTTCCTTTAAACGAGCATTTTTATCAGGCTCCTATGTTTAGGTTCAGTAATTTCACTTTAATGGCGAAGAAAAGGTTAGTAGTCAGTTATTGAATGCCTTATTTTCAAAAATGTCCAATGATATTTTCATAAGAGCCTGATACAAATTTCATTTGAAAGAAAATCAGAAAATCTCAGACTATAATTTTTTTATTTTTTTATTTTTTTGTGTAGAGAGAAAAAGTTTGTGACAAAGAATGCAAAAAAAAAAAAAAAAAAACTGTGACAAATAAAAATTCACTTATAATACAAAAAGATACAAAAAAAGGAAAACGCTTGATGTACCAAGACTAAATTTCATCTATGATAGCCAGCTAGACAACTTTTCCACAGTGATATATTGAAATCAGCACAATTTACATAATAAATATTATTGCAAGGCATAAAAACACATGTACATGATCAACAGAACACAGCCATAACTCTCTCCTGGGCCCCGGGGCATTCTTACTCTTAACATTTAGATACATAATTTCTAAAAATCCTAGTCTTTCCATCTGCCTAACTTCTGGTTTCATCATGGTCTTGTTTATACGGAAAGGGGATGTTGTTCTGAAAACCTCAGAGTGAAACTGATGACTGAAGTCTCTCATGTGCTTCCGCCTGCATTATTTGTCCAGGGGATCTCACGTACGGTCATTATAATGTGCTTTATTAGTTTCTGAGCACTGTGAGGATACATGAAGACAGACAGGAGCTTAGCTCGGCTCTTAATGTTGTAGTTAGCAGGGATATTTTTACCCTGTCTTTAGCTTGTTCAGGAAAAGGAAGTCATTAGTACTGTCTTGAGGGACTAAAATTGCTCTGAGATCGGCTTCCCAAAATCTCTCTAAACCTTTCTGAAGCAAAACCAAAATGTGGAATAGGATTTTTAATGAGAAAAACATTACTACTAACATATGTCCGGTTCATCTGTTCCTTCATGAAACCACCTCATGTGTGATAGCTACACTAGATTAACTCAATGTTAGAAAAAATTGACTCAAATGATTATTCATCAACCACAACGGTTGTCATCAAGTGGACTCAAACACTAAAAGACAAATATCGCAATTTACATTTAGTCCTGTTTGTTCGCTGACCGCTTCATGCATACTTCACACAAAACTGGAAAAGCACTTTTGCTAACATTACTTTTGTCAGTGAGGGCACAGAAGGCTTTATCAGTCCATCAGCGCTTTTAAGGGAAAAACTGCTGCATATCAGAAAAATCCACACCTAAACACACACCAAACAAATGTGGCTGTTCAATCAGACGGCCTCTTCTGGCAAAGTGCAGTTCACAGCCTTGTCTTTTAGTCAGAGGTCTGGTTACATGAGAGTAGCCTAAAAACTAACCAATCCCTAAACCTAAACCTAAACCCAGTGGTTCTCCGTTTTTGTGTGTGATGCTAAAATTGCTCTGAGATCAGTTTCCCAAAAAACTTTATTTTTTTCAACTTTTAAAAATATATACAGTAGTGGCCAAAATCATTAGAGCACTAGTATTTTCAGCAGCTAAAAATGGTTTTAAGTCCATCACATCACAGGAGAGTGAACTGCCTGTCAGAAATCATAGCACGTCAGCTATCTTAACCACGGCTTGTGCACTGCATTATCACTGTGTCTGCAGTGAGAGCTTTGTATGCACAAGGAGTCTGACAGCAGCCAGTGCTGCACACAGAGATCTGATCTCAGCATCATGCAGTCCGTCTGAGATTACATGAAGAAACAGAACTAACTGAGACAGACTCAATCCAGAAGAACTGTGGCAACGTCTCCAAGACACTTGAAGAAACCTTCCTGCAAGGCTACAGTACTGTGAGAAGTTTTATGCACTGAGGATGCTTTCAAAAATAATGTCATAAATAGATTTTATTTATCAATTAACTTCTATTAACTAAATTAAAATCAAAATGTGGTGTGAGCACCCTTTGTGTTTAAAACAGCGTTTGCGCTAGATGCACTTGTGCATAGTTTCTCAGGTAGCTTTGCAGGAAGGTTTCTTAAGGTACAATCAGTGTCTTTGTCAGACCGCCAGCAAGGCTTCATGCTGTGATCCCATTGTGTTTTCCAGCTAAAAGCTCCCAGCTATAGTCATCTGTTTACAAAACAAATGCAGGCGGAATGTTTTTTTTTCCTTTTTCAGTGTGTTCAAAGATCTATTACGCAATACCAGTAAGACTTACAGTGATTCTGAGGTTTGCTCTGTTTAGGAACAAACCTCAGAGTGTCACCTTTCAAAAGAGACCAAAACCATGCATATACTCCACATGCTTCAAGAACAGCATGCAATTTACTTTGGGTTTTAGTCAAATTTTACAGGTTTGCAAAGGGGTTAAAACTAATCTTGACATTTACTCATGCCTCTGCAAGCTAGTGTGACGGTCAAGCTCCAAAAAGAAGATAAAAGAACCATTAAAGTAGTTCATATGATTCTTGTGCATTATTCAGAGCCTTCTGAATTAATTTGATTGCTTTATGTGACAAACAAACCATAATTTAAAGGGGTCATATGATGCGATTTCATTTTTTCCTTTCTCTTTGGAGTGTTACAAGCTCTTGGTGCATAAAGAAGATCTGTAAAGTTCCAAAGACTAAAGTCTCAAATCCAAAGAGATATTCTTTATAAAAGTTAAGTCAACCACACCCCCCTAAAACGCCTCGTTCTAACACGCCCCCACATACCTACGTCACTATGTGGAAATATTAGCATAATGCTGCAGCGGCGCAGTCAGTCAGTGAGCGCCGTAACAGATGACGTCAAATCTTGCGGGATTCCATAAATAAACTACACAGAACCCCACTATTCGGACAAAGATACATAATGAAAAGATGATACAAAATTTAATACTTTGGAAAATGGCATTTAAGACTTTTTAATACTTTTTAAGGGCCTTCATTTTCTCTAAATTGATTTATCAACTTTTAATACTTTTTAAGACCCCATGGACACCCTGGAGTAAGACACGCAGTTATATCATTAAGGACTGCACTCGCCCTGCTCTCCACCTGCTTGTATTTATTTCACTTGTATTTATTGTTCTTAGCATGTTACTTTTACTAACTCTAGATCATTGCCCACCACTGTTCTTTTTCACCTGTTATAAACAGCTTCATATAAACCAGCGGTCTTCAACCTTGCTCCTGGAGAGCTACCATCCTGCAGACTTCAGCACCAACACACCTGCTGGTAATTATCAAGCAACCCTGAAAAAAGCCACTAGAAGGCAAGCCTGCAACCCTTTAGCCAAAAAAAGTGTAACGGCTAATGCTAATGCTTCCGCGGTATGCAGGGAAGGAGACCAGAGGCCGTTTTGTTTGAATGGATGTCAATGGAGGAGAGGCTTTACTACGCTGAATAAACTATTAAACTATTTTTAGAGTTTACACTGAAAAAATGCCATTTTATAAGAGAAGTCACTGACTTTTTGCAGCAGGTGGGATTCAGCTTATGGCACTTCTCATTCATTCCTATGGTATCCGTAAACGGCGATTGAGTGTCGCACAACTCTGACTGAAATTCCGTGATATCAAGGCTATAATGTGATTGGTTATTACAGTCAGTGAGCGCCGTAACAGATGACGTCAAATCTTGCGGGATTCCATAAATAAACTACACAGAACCCCATTATTCGGACAAAGATACATAATGAAAAGATGATACAAAATTTAATACTTTGGAAAATGGCATTTAAGACTTTTTAATACTTTTTAAGGGCCTTCATTTTCTCTAAATTGATTTATCAACTTTTAATACTTTTTAAGACCCCATGGACACCCTGGAGTAAGACACGCAGTTATATCATTAAGGACTGCACTCGCCCTGCTCTCCACCTGCTTGTATTTATTTCACTTGTATTTATTGTTCTTAGCATGTTACTTTTACTAACTCTAGATCATTGCCCACCACTGTTCTTTTTCACCTGTTATAAACAGCTTCATATAAACCAGCGGTCTTCAACCTTGCTCCTGGAGAGCTACCATCCTGCAGACTTCAGCACCAACACACCTGCTGGTAATTATCAAGCAACCCTGAAAAAAGCCACTAGAAGGCAAGCCTGCAACCCTTTAGCCAAAAAAAGTGTAACGGCTAATGCTAATGCTTCCGCGGTATGCAGGGAAGGAGACCAGAGGCCGTTTTGTTTGAATGGATGTCAATGGAGGAGAGGCTTTACTACGCTGAATAAACTATTAAACTATTTTTAGAGTTTACACTGAAAAAATGCAATTTTATAAGAGAAGTCACTGACTTTTTGCAGCAGGTGGGATTCAGCTTATGGCACTTCTCATTCATTCCTATGGTATCCGTAAACGGCGATTGAGTGTCGCACAACTCTGACTGAAACTCCGTGATATCAAGGCTATAATGTGATTGGTTATTAAGGCACACGTGATCCAAGTTGACCGTTACGCTTTCTCAAATTGCAAGTAATACAGACCCTCTCATCTCCCAATAGTAAGACAATCTCTGCCCTGAATGCTTTGATGAGCTGGTTCAGGTGTGTTTGATTGGGGTCGGAGCGGAGATCTGCAGGACAGTAGCTCTCCAGGAGCAGGGTTGGAGACCCCTGATCTAAACCACGTGTGTTTGTTCATGTCTAAGTCTTATACATGCTTGTACTGTCATTGTCTGAATCTGAGCCTTGTCACAAGCACTTCACTGACCAGTGTACCCATTGCAAATAACAAATAAATGAATTTGACTCTTATGACACTAACTTTACATATAGAAGAGTTTAAATCCAGAGGGAGACTAACACAAAAATAACCAATATTTTTAAAAAGATGAAGATGTCCACTTTGCCCATGCAGATAATAGATTAAGATCTATCCTATATAACAGATGTCTTCAACCCTACTCCTGGAGACCCAATGTCTTGCAAAGGCTGGCCACACACTTGATGATTTTAAGCCTGATTTTGAGCCCGATTTGCACCCCCAAGCAATCTGGGGGGTGTAGCCCAGATTTTAGGCTTGTTGCAACTGACTTTATTGTGTGGTGTCCTTACGATTATTTTACTGCTCCTGATCACGTCGGAGCTCCCACAATCCCAAATCGTAAATATCAAACATGTTTGATGAGAGCGAGCAAGAGTCAACTACCGGATGTTGCGTGCTTCTAGATCTGAAACTTGGGAGCCACAAACATGCCACGAAAGTGGAGTATTGAGAAAGAAGATCACCCTTATTCTTTTTTTGTATACTCTGTTTTTCACTGTGAAACAGAATGCGCTCCAGGAAAGCCAGCTGACAACGTCGATTGTCCTCCATTTATTTTCTTTTCAAGTTATGTTTGATCTCGCGAGTCTCCGTGAGATCTCGTGTCACTGTGAAATCATTCCTACAATCAACAAGTGTATGGTCTCGAGGTCCGGTCGAATCCTCTAGTGTGTTCGTTCAGAGGACTAAAATGCTAAAAATCAGTTAAAACGGTCATAATGTCTGTGGTCTCCCAAAGTTTTAAAATTGGTTAAGATTTGAAAACCGTCTAGTGTGGCCCAGGCCTAAGTTTAGTTCCAACCTTCTCCAACACACCTGCCTGCCATTTTCAAGTCATCCTGAACACCTTGGCTGTATCCAAAATCACCCCCTCTACCCTTAAATAGGGCACTTTTTGAGTGAACAGCCATTTGTAGTGGTGTCCGAAACCTTAGTGGACGTTCTCAAGTGCACTTATTCAATCCCATGAGTGTACAATGAGTGTACAACCAGTGCACGCTCAACGGCTAGAGAATACCCATAGTGCACTGTGAGAGTCGCACGCCAAATGAATTCCCGCATCTCGCCAGAAGGCGGCGCCTGCAGCTGAATTATCCATCCATTCATTTTACAAAACGCTCGTCCACGGCATAATACAGGGTAATACAACACAGGTTCATTGTAAATTGATTATTAAATTGTTGAACTAGGGTTTATACATTTCCATGACAGAGTTCAAGATAAATCCTTTAACCCTACTCCTGGAGTTTGCCAGTATCAAATTATTATTAAACAGCAAGCACAAACTATGCAAAAGCGGCAGTCATTCCGGTGCACTCAGTGTTCGAATTAGTTTTCATTCACTCCTTCAAGTGAACTGTATTAGTGGCCTAATGTAGGGAATAGTGAATGAGGGTATAAAGGGGGCGATTTCGGATACAGCCCTTGATTAGCTGGTTCAGGTGTGCATGATTAGGGTTGGAGCCCCTAAAAACTCTACAGGACAGTGGGTCTCCAGGAGCAGGGCTGAAGGGCTATGCTATTTAAGAATAATCAGTTTTTCTTCCCCTAACCCACAAACTCTTATACTAACAAGAGTTTTATCAGAGTGCTGTTCTACCTTTGGTGGAACGTAGAATTCAAGCTGGAACTTCTCTCCTGCGTCCACTTGCGCGGCGGTCTTCCTCAACAGCAACCTGCATTTCTGCCACTGTGCCGCCCCCATACAGTTAGTGTCATCGGCCACCATGTATCGGAGCGCACCCTCCCTCTGGATCTCCAACAGCTCCGCTTTATGGCCCTGAGAGCCCCGCGGTAGCCGTAGCTTCTGGCTCCAGTGTTCGGACCCCACGGACTCGGCTCCATTGGTCCTCCTGGAGCTCCCCGAGGGGTCTGGTTCTGGAGAGGCCCTGCGGTGCCAGATCTCCTTCACCCCGTCCACCACGCTCAGACTCATGTTTCGGAGGGAAAAGCCCTTCTTGAAGCGAGCCTTACGTCGTCCCAATGACACATCCTCCGAACTCCTGGACTGGCTCACGGTTGCCTTCTTACGGGTGGGGGTCTGCTGTTCCTGTCCGCTGGCTCCGCCCCCTCCGCTGTCCATGCTATCCAGTGATTCGCTCGAGGCCCCCACGTCTTTGCGCCGATGGTAGAGGTCGTGGCTGAAGGGCAGCGTGCAGCTCTGTATGCCCACAAAGGGTACGATGCTGTATTTCGGAGCGGAGGAGTCTCCCGGAGAGCCGGGACCTTGAACCTGGTCGAGGGCGGCAGAGAAGCAGGTCAAGAAGTGTTGAGCAAAGTGTTGCGAGAAGCTGGCATCAGCACCAGGCGAGTCGTAGCATGGGTTCTCGCTGATGAATCGCCGGAACTTGTAGGCAAAATCGGCGGCGGAAGCTCGAGCGTGAAGCTCACAGAACTCCTTCCAATCAGGCAGCGTGCAGGAGGAGTGCTCCGGGCTGCTGGGAGCCCCGTCGCCATTCATTACTAGGCCATGCCAATGCCCTGGCAAACCACTGTCACACAGACAGAGAGAGAGAGAAACAAAGAGAGAGACAGGTCAGTAAGCAAAATCAGAAAGGGTGGAGCAAAATGGTTCATGTGACCCTATATCTTCCTCCCATGTGGCACAGATTGACAGATTGGATATGACCCACGGACATGTAAACGAAAAAAAAAAAAAGAGCGTGGATTCCGATATTCTCAGAATGGTTTCAGGCCTCATGCATTTGTTCATATTTGGAAATAAATCTGATGTGACGAATGACGTCAACTCAGGTGGACACTTTTGTGAGTCAGTACGCAGTGTTGCCAAGTCCGCGGTTTACCTGCAGAATTGGGCTACTTTTACACTGTTGCCGCGGGTTGTTTTTTAGTCCATGGATTAAAGCTAAACCCCCCCATTTCAATGGCAGACATAGTTTGCCAGAGGGGAAAGCCGCAAAAAACGCGATTGGGCTAGTTTTGAATGGCAATTGCCAGTTTTGTTTAGCAGACCTGGCAACCTGTCAGTACGTCTACTCTGGGTTGTTTTGCCAAGTTTATAGTGTAAATGCAGATATTGGATATGGGTCACTTTTAGGAGAAAATATAAGCTGGTTGTCAGAAAAATCGGATATAGTCAACAAATCGGAACTGGGCATCAAGACCTGCAGTGTAAATGTGGCCAAAGTGTCATTTAAACTGGCATGGCCTCACAAATGTCTCAGCCAAGTCAGTCGATTTTGAGAGCAACTTCCAAAAAACACAACTGTAGGGGGGAAAAAAAAGGGTTGCTTCTGGGAAAATCACCCCCTTCAAGTATTACATTTGGTCAGTCCAATCAAATTGCATGTTTGTAAATTAATATTCCTTATTTGCCTCATACTGCTTTATACTGACTACATGTTGCTCAAAACTTACAACTGAGAAAGTTTTGCTAAATAACTCCCATCCTACAAAATTTGTCCATTCTTCACAAACCGTTGCTTAGCTGATTTTCAGGCCAAATTTCAGAAAAGTTATCGATTTTTTGATCGAGGTTTTAGATAAATGGCAATAATTTGGTACACTGCAATGAAATCCTGCTCTGAGAGTATCGGAGCAGTCTGGGAACATCGCCACCTACTAGTTAAGCACTATAGCAAACACTACAGCAGATGTCAGAATTTGTTTAAAATAGATTATGTTTGTATTTTAAAGAACATTTAATCATTATTGTGCAATCAAATGTGAGCATGTTAGTTAATGAAAAAAGCCATAACAAACACACACAAGCATCTCTATTATATGCATGACGGGGATTTCCATGCAAGCCAATTTGTTGTGGTTTTGAAATACAAAATTACATTTACAATAAACATTCAAAACGATCATCATTCACCACCGCAAGAGAATCACATTTCATTACATTCACCAAGTCAATGAACAAAGCCAAAGCATAATAATATAAACATAAGATCCATTGCATTTAAAATTTATTGACTGCACTGTATTTATGCACTGATCAAAAACACATTTTATCATCTTGGATGCTATGGATGCTTAAAGGAAATACACTTTTTTTAAACAATATATGAATTACCCATTACCACATGATGTGCATGCAACACTTACTCAACATATGTTTTGTAAATGTAACAGGAAAATAAACAGGAGAAGCAGAACACAGAATGTCAGCAGACTGAAGTTACTGCAAGATTAACCAAACCATGTTAACCAAAGCAGACCACAAACCGCTCTGCCATGGCACCGTCAGGAGGAGGACACAAGCACCTAAAACGACTGACAGTCAGACTGAAGAGTGCACAACAAGATTACTGTAAAATAAAACAAAAAAAACTTTGCACGATTAATCACTTTTCTGACACAGACACACAGCAGTCTCTTCTCTCTGGACACTAGACTTATTTTCCAATCATAATGTAGAGACTGACACCGAGTGCAGAGACGCACAGACCAGCATCTGTCTGAAAATAAGAGCCATTCACTGAACACGTGACATTAAGACAAGTGTATAACACGAGAGCAGTGTATTATACTGAAACAGTACAGAGGCCTCCACAAATATTGGCACCCTTGACAAATATGAGCAAAACAGGCCATGGAAAAATGTCTTTGGTGTTTATCTTCTTGGTCTTTCGTTCAAAATATTCGCAAAAATCTAACCTTAATTAAAGTAAAAAAACTAAAAATTGGTACCCCTGCATTTAATACTTTGTGTAGCCTCCCTTTGCCAAGACAACAGCTCTGAGTCTTCTTCTATAATGTGTAATGAGGTTATTAATCACCATATGGCAAGGGAGCGGAGACCATTCTTTCATATAGAATCTCTCCAGATCATTCCGATTCGAAGTGTGGACTTTTTTGTCCATGGCAAAACCTTCATTCTGTGGTCAGGGAACTATTTCGTTGCTGATTTTGAGGTGTGCTTTGGATCATTGTCCTGCTGGAAGATCCGGCCACAGCCCAGTCGAAGCTTCCTGACATGAGTTTGCTGCTTGAGGACATCAAAGGTTTTTTTATGGCAACTTTCCCAAACGATCAGTGGTTATTTAGGTGACCTTAGAGACTCTCTGATCCTAAGACTCGACCAGCATCTGCACTTCTCCAAATGTGATCTTTAAAGACTGTTTGGCCACTCAAACCATCCTCCTCCTCGCTTTGTGCGAGACACACGTCTTCTTCCATCTCCACTTGATTTGAAGCTTATTAATTATTGCCCAGAGAGCAGAAATTAGCGTTTCAACCGTGCTCATTTCAAATTGAACTATTTTGAACTAATAGCCGTTTTCTGATTTGTGCAGCTCAACAATCTTTTGTCATACATCGTTACTGTATTCTCAGGTCTTTCTCATAGTGATGGATGACAGCAGAAATGTGGCCTGTGTGTCGCCTCACATGTGAAACAGGATGCCATTTAAGTGTTTCCAACCAATAAAGTAACTATACGTTATAAACAGAATATGTTTAAGTTAGGTTTTTACTCATTTACAATTTGTAGGGGTGCCACATGTCGCACATGTTTGAAAGAATTGTATTTATTTATTCCACATTCATTTTTAGTGTATAATTTTACTTTAATTAAAGGTTGGACTTTTGTGAATATTTTTGAATGAAAGACTACGACAAGCTGCAAAAAACTATTTACCAAGGGTGCCAATATTAGAGAGTTGTAGCTAGATAATGTTATATAATGTACAGTATATAACATCATATACACACACTAGTACTCATATTTGACAGCACAGAAAATAACAGATGAAAAAGCTTACTTTCTGAGCTGCTGAAAACACACAAATGTAAAAGAGAGTGAAAAAATGAGCAATTAACCAAACTAACCTTTCTCCAATATATAGACAGGTTTATTATTTTTTTTAATATATTGAGGTGTTGTGCTTCTACGTATTGCAATTTTGTATCACATTATTTACATTTTCCATGTTTTAACTTTTCCACATACTGTAGTTCTGCCCCAGTTTGTTTGCACTGATTTCATTGCTCTGAATTAACATTTAGACACAGTTATGGGGGAATTTACACAAGTGACAATTTCATTCACTGCTAAATATTTGTATAATTCTTGTATCATTCTTACACATGCAGTTTCTCCGTGCTCATATTATTTGAGAGACTATGGCATTTATTAGTAGCCTATTTGTAATAATTTACTGTCAACCCTTTTTTTTTTTTTTTAAGTGAACTGCACAAACTAAAAAGTGAGGGGGGAAAAAGTAACCAGTTACAGCATCTCATTTACACATTTCCATTTTACTTTCATATCCATTAACCTAAAATCTCGATGCTGTTAAAGCGTCCTCGTTTGTAATGGTTTTATGGTAGGGTCCATTTTCATGTTCTCGTCTAGGGCCCCTGTGTGTGTGTGTGTCTGTGTACAGTAAGCTGCAGTGTGTTTTTGCATGCATGCATCATTTGATTATTTCAGGTTCTCTGTTATTGGGTGGGTGATGCATGATGCTGCGAGTCTCTGTGAATGAAGCCGGTGCACGAGGCCTGAATCAATAACACACGCGCGCATCGATACAAAACACTGTGCAGAATTCAGATGAGCAACACTGAAGCAGCGACTGTGACACATATTACGCTTTAATCATCAGCCACCGCACATGCGAGTGCCTTAAACACAAATAAACACATGCGAACGCATACATGTATGTAAAGCGGCGCATAATGAATGAGAGCGAAGGGCCGTTCATTCAGGACGCGGGCCCCTGATTCATCTCACCTCCGATAAATGCGTCACTGCATCTGATGCCGGTGCTGTTATTCCAGATCCATCGACGGCGGCTTGTGGAGGACTCCAGCACATCGCATCGCTGCATGACCCATAAGTGAGCAGGATAGAGACTGATACATGACGCGCGCACATCTATTCTCCAGGCAATGCAGCTGCTCTTAAAGGGGACGCGGCGCGATTTCCGATTGGTCCTTAAATGGGCCACGTCATGAAGTCATTGGTCACCATTGAGTGAAGGTGATTCAGAGCATCCTCCTCCTCCTCCATCAAGCTGAAAACTCACTATAGGATCAGATCACATGAGTGCTGCTGTATGAAGCTATGGAATACTACACTCTAAAAAATGCTGGGTTAAATATAACCCAGCGCTGGGTTAAAAAGGGACAAACCCAGCCATTGGGTTGTTTTGACCCAGCTATTGGGTTGTTTTGAACCCAACCGCTGGGTCAAAACAACCCAATTGCTGGGTTTGTCCCTATTTTACCCAGCACTGGGCTGTATCTAACCCAGCATTTTTTAGAGTGTAGCGTGTGTGTACTGCATACTGCATATACTACAGTTTATGTACGGCCATTGCTCCTGTTCATATATCAGTAAGATTGTCGTTACATCGTAGTCGATGTAACTTCGATGGCGCCCACTGTCCTCTTTTTGGAAAACTAAAATATGGTCACCCTAATCGAAATGATTTAAGAGCATTTTCACATATGCTACACTTGAAATGAACCAAACTCAGTTCAGTTAAACTACGCTAAAAAGGGATCCAGCCGCAAGTGACCGCAGTGCTCACAATGTAAGTGGACTTAAAAGGGGACTCAATCAAACCCCAAAACAAACTGAGTATGGTTCATTTGTGGGTGTCCGAGATCATTTTTCTTTCTTTCTTCTTCTTGGAGTGCCCAAATGAGCTAGATGTGAAAACAGCCTAAATATCATGCGGGCTTCTGTCCAAACCAATTAGATATACAGATATCGCACATGAATATTATATCACAGTCTGTCTTGGATTTCAATGCCTGTTGCACAGAGGTGGACAGTAACGAAGTTCATTTACTTGATTACTGTACTTAAGTACACTTTTTAAGTATCTGTAAGTATTACATACAACAATAATAAAACAGTGCATTGACATAAAAAAGGAAATGAATTTTTGGTACTTAAGTACTTTTAAAAGCAAGTACTTCTGTACTTTTACTTAAGTAAAAATCTATCCTTACAACTTTCACTTGTACAGGAGTCATATTTGACCAGCAGTATCTATCCTTTCACTCAAGTAATGGAGTTGTGTACTTGGTCCACCTCTGCTGTTGCATTTTTATACACAAGGACGCTGAACATCACAACACAACACAACACAGTGTCTAAACGCTCACTGAGCCGCAAAGGACTGTGGGAGGAGAGAGAATCCACATGTTCATGAAGAGTTTTGCTCTAGACACGTGCTATTCTCATCAAACAACACAGGTTTCACGGGAACGTCCTCAGCGTCTCAAACAAAAAAATAAAGTAGTTGCACCATGTGTGTCGACTGCTGATGAATGAAAGCACACAAAACACTCAGTTATCCACTGCCAGTGTCTGTCCATCGTCCAGCCGTTTACTGTACTCGTTCTCATGCTAAATGCATTCTGAGATTCATGTCCTAAACCAGACAGCCATGTCAAATAACAGAAGATCTGTGAATCATGGCAGAAAAAGAGAAGCCCTTCTGAACGTGTGGACTGTGTGAGAGATGCATCAGTGTTTAAACATGACATGTAGGGTCATAGTTATAATTCTGTAGTTTTTGAGCTCAGCAGCAGCACTAGAGTTTGTGTTCTCGTTAATACGCCGATTCTCTGAAGTAGCAGGTGAATATACCACGGTACATGAATACAGTAATCGTTATCACTGGCCTCCACAGCATGCTGGGAAACGCAGGAGCAGAGGTCACGCGGGGTCAAATGAAATTCACTAAAGAAGTGCTTTCTGAAACACACAGAAAGCCATTACTGTCATGTCTCTCTCAGACAGATAACACAATAAAACTGCACAAAAAGCATCTGGAGAAGAACCCAGACCATGTGTGTGTGTGTGTGTTAATGGATCTCATGTTCAGATCTGGCTGGTTCTGGAAAAGCACTGCACACTCACGTACAGCAGAATGAACTGCTGAGGGTTCGGACTCATTAAGAGCCGTTAGATGAATTATTCAAGCACACAACACCCCGCTGGATGTCTACAGACCGATGGAGGAGACGGTTTTGTTTCTCACTAATTATTCATTACAAAATGAGCCTTTAACTTCTGCTTCCACAATGAAAACATGCAAGGATGAACCCAAGAGCAGAAGCCCACTGCTCGAGCATCATCAGTGTATGTCCAGAGATATTCTCTGTACAGCAGTCAACAGAAGCCCTTCATTTATTAATAATTAGGCTCATCAGATGCTGCTTTCAGAGTGCAGTACTCCACGCCATTTCATTTATTTAAAGCCACTCCACAGATGTTCCTCTGAACGAGAAAAGAAAATGTGCAAATATCTCCAATTACTGGTTCATGTTGAAAAGTTTGGAGTCAGTGTGTTTTGTTGGGAAAGAAAACAATACTTTTATTTAGCAAGGATGCACTAAATTGATCAAAAGTGACAGTAATGTTACAAAAGACTTCTATTTTAAATAAATGCTGTTCTTTTGAATTGATTATAATCAGAAATGTTTCTTGAGCAGCAAATCAGCATATTGATTTCTGAAGATCATGTGACACTGAAGACTGGAGTAATGATGCTGAAAATACAGCTGCGCATCACAGAAATAAATTACAGTTTAACAGATATTCACATTGAAAACCGCTATTTGAAACTGTAATAATATATCAGTTTTTACTCTATTTTTGATCAAATGAATGCAGCCCTGGTGAGCAGAAGAGACTTCTTTCAAAAACATCAAAAAAAATCTTACCGACCCCAAACTTTTGAATGGTAGTTTTATTAATACCTTAATCTCATAATAAAAAATAAAAAAAACACACGTTCCCTGAAAGCTTAAATTTAATATCAAGAGACTATACCTAAAGTCCCAACAGTTAAATATACAAAATAAAGGGATACAAATATTGTCAGATGCTTTGTGTCGAAGTATCTGGCACAAAGTTAAATAAACCGTTACCACTGATTTTTATCTCTGAAAAACATTAGAATCAGAATTTAGAGCTGATTGATTTCATTGAAGTAAAAATGGACAGTAACAAAGAAAATGCTCAATACATGACCTGCAGAACATCTCGTTATGTAAATTAACAGCATCAAACCTTTAAACCTCCAGTCAATTTAATATTTAACCCAGTATATCCCCTAACTAACCTGGTCCCAGTAGCAGTAATTCAATGACAATCTACGATTCTCACGTCATAAAAATATGATTGATGTGAACAGCTCTCTCTAGTGGATAGAAGCTGCTACTGCCACGTGTCTCCATCCTCATGGAAACGGTGCAGGTGGTCTGAGTATCTGTGGGAGGAAAGATGCATTAAACACACATGCTGTATGTAAACGCGCAGCGTTTCAAAACCAGAGGCTCATTCGATCAAATCTCATTCAGAAACCTCGGAGTAAAAAACACTCACTTCTTTGCACAAAATGCAGCACAGTCCCGACCGATACTCTCACTCCAGGCGGCTTTATACAGCACCTGATCACACACACACACACACACACACACAGCTCAGCGGATCAGAACAAGTCAACATGAGCTGTGAAGCACGGTTTAAACTGAGGCTCAAGTTACTCACCAGGAAGACGAGGCAGTGCAGCATCAGCGTGTAGAAGAACGCCACAGTTCTGGCCATCTTATTGGACAGGATCACACGACCCTGAAACAGACACGTCGAACATCAGCACAGACAGCGAAAGGGGAGGGAAACGACAAAACATCAGGTGTTACTGGGGGAGTTATAACCTTAACAACACAACATTTGCTGAAAATCAAGTTTACTCACCCTCGGGCCTGAGTTTGTTTCTTCATCAGATTTGGAGAAATGTAGCACTGCATCAGTGTCTCAGCAATGGATGCTCTGCAGTGAATGGGTGCCGTCAGAATGAGAGTCCAAACAGCTGATAAAAACATCACAATAATCCACAAGTAATCCACAGCACTCCAGTCCATCAGTTAACATCTGGAGAAGACAAAAGCTGAAACTAATCCAGCATTAAGATGTTTTTAACTAAAATACCATAGTGTCCATAATCCATAATGTTTCCTCCAGTGAAAAAGTGCATCTCCTGTTGTCTCTCACATCAAAATCCAGCCACATATGTGTTTAAAGCAGTTTAAACGGTGCTTGATCTGTGCAGATTTCTCTCCTGATTCAGACCAGAACACTTTTTCACTGGAGGAAGAGTTATTATGGATTACGGACTCAATGTATTTTAGTTAAAAAGGTCTTAATGCCGGATGTGTTTCAGCTTTTGTCTTCTCCAGATGTTCACTGATGGACTGGAGTGCTGTGGATTACTTGTGGATTATTGTGATGTTTTTATCAGCTGTTTGGACTCTCATTCTGACGGCACCCATTCACTGCAGAGCATCCATTGCTGAGACACTGATGCAATGCTTCATTTCTACAAACCTGATGAAGAAACAAACTCATCCTAATCTTGGTTGTCCTGAGGGTGAGTATATTTTAAATCAATTAAACCAATAAAAAATATATACCACTCCTTTGTTTAATACTAATGTAGAATAAAATAAAATAAAAAATTAAGGAGTATAATAATAATACTTTTAATAGAATAATTAAAATAATAATAATAATATTTAGGGCTGTTGTCATTTTGATGCTTTCAAAAATTTAAACCATAGAGTTTTTCTTTTGGTGGAAAACCACATGGAGGCCTTAAATTCGGCATAAACTCCTATTGTGGCATATATCCAAGTGAAAAACATGTAGGGCGAGACTTGATTGGATCAGCTGATCGTTGTAGTTTGCTATTGCTGCGATCTCGTGTGAGTGACAGCAGCATTTACTGTGAACGGCGACACCAGATCACGAGCTGCTCATGTGTAAAAGTACACTGATTCACATGTGTGTGCACTACTGTATGTGAAGAGATCAACACAAACACGGCTCACACACCAGACTGAGCGTGGCCTTGTCCCACGGGCTGAGGCTCTGA